GGACGCTGCTATAATTTTTTTTTCTTTTTCTAAAAGGCTTTTTTTTTTTTTTTTTTTTTAAGAGAGGTTTTTTGCCATGGGGTACATGTGCTCACCAGAGAGAGAGAAATCACCCCCCAGGGGTAATGGCCACATTGCAAGCCCTTCTCCTCTCAAGATTTTAGGCATGCACGCACATGAAACTGGCATGAGTTTTAAGCCACTGGGTCTGAGACTCGAACTGTGGTCAACTACATGGGAGTCCAACAACATAAGCAATACGCCATCTGCCAGTTCTGTACTTTTTTTTTATTAACCTAAAATTTACCACCTTAGCCATCTTTTAGAATTATTTATTTCATTTTACTTATTATTTTAAAATATGCTATGGGACATGCATGCTTCACAGAGAAAGAGAGAGGGAAAGTGAGAAAGCAAGGTACCAGGTCTGAGACTCAAACCACAGTTGGCCATGTGGGAGGTCAGTGCCTTAACCACATACGACCTGCTAGCCCCTGTCTTAACCATTTTTAAATGTACAGTTCAGTGGCATTTAGTACATTCACACTGTTGTGTTATCATCATCACCGTCCTTAGAACTCTCTTCACCTTGCAAAACTGAAACTCAGTACCCATTAAACAACTCTGTGTTCTATCTTCCCAACCTCTGGCATTCCTTTCTGTCTTTGTGAATTTGACTGCTCTAGGTACCTCATAGAAATGGAATTACATAGTATTCATGTAGTATTTGTCCCCATTGTTTTATGTCACTTAGCATAATACCCACACGGTTTATCCATGTCATAACTCTTGTCAAAATTTCCTTCCTTTTTAAAGCTGAATAATATCCCATTGTATGTATGTACCATATTTTGTTTATTCATTTATCTGCTGATGGACACAGTTGGGTGAAGTCTTGATTATGGGGAGACATTCATGATAACTGAGTGAAAGTCAACTGACAAAACAAATTTCTTGATCTAACTTGTAAGATTCCTTAGATACGAGTTCTAGAAGAATAATTAAAACATCAACAATAGATATCGCTGGGGATTAGTATATTTTGCTCAATCTATTTCCTTTTTTCTGTACAATTAGTATGTATTGCTTTTGTACTAACAATTAGTAAGGAGGTAAAAATTAATGTAAATGTTAAATAGTTATGGACACCTTTCAGGCACAATAACTGTTTTCTCGGTGGACAGATGTCATACTTGCTTTGATTGGTAAATTCTGTAGGAGCCAAACTGACCCTGTGGTCCTTAGGACCTGGGATGATTCTGTAACTAAACTGTATCTGTCACCTGTCTTCTAGGAAGGCTATTTTTGATACCCCAGATGAGGATCCAAATTATAATCCACTGCCTGAAGAACGGCCAGGAGGCTTCGCTTGGGGTGAGGGCCAGCGCCTCGGAGGTTAATGCAGCAGTGCCAATATGAGACCCAGCTGGGAAGGACTCAGTGAAATACCCACCAGGATTCTTTTATCCTTTGTTGCAAAAGTGTGGACACTTTTGACAGCGTGACAGATTTGAACTCCAGAAGCACTTTATGAAATGGTACACTGACTAATCCAGAAGACATTTCCAGCAGTTTGCCAGTGGTTCCTCACTACACTGGTACTGAAAGTGTAATCTCTTGGAGCCAAAAAAACTGGAGAAATAAATAGCCTGCCGCCTCTAACAAGTACCTGAGTACTTGAATTCTATGGTATAAGGCAGGGTTTTTCCTCCTCTTTGATCGATGAGGCCATGGTGTGAATGGAAGTTTCAGAGAGGACAAAATAAAACGGAATTCCATCTTTCTCTCACTGTATTAAAGCTTTTGTGTGTGATCTTTTAAGTTATGATCATGTATTCTAGCTCTCCAGCGTAGATCTGAGCTCAGAACAGTTTACATACCTGCTCTTCCTGTGTCTTTACCGCTTTGAACTAGATTTCTTTTCAGATTGGAAATAGGTAGTTGTTAATGCTGTGGTTTTGTACATCTTACTCATTTGTAATGCTAGGTTGTAGGAAGAAGGTTTATTTTTGTCATCCAGTTCTCCATCTGGATTTTGCAAACATTAAGTTGTCAGATGACATGGAGAAAAGGGGTTAGGTCGTTCTTGGTAGCAGGAGTTCAATTACAGGAAAGTCAGCTATAAGCAAAAAAGCTAATGTGGCATCTTATTTTGTTTTTCTTTCTTTTTTTTTTTTTTTTCCTAGTGTGGTGTATATGCTTGCATTTCTTCATTAGGAAGTATCCAGGGAAAGACTGATAATGGCCACATTTGTGGAAAACTACAGGAAGGTTTTTATTAGACCCGGAGAACAAGTTAGAAGGTTGACTTTGTGGCCAGATGTACAGGAACCCGTTAGGCAGGCATATGTTTCTCTGAGGTCTTTGGCTGGTTAACATCTGTTATTTCCTTAATGAAAAGCCGAGAACCTTTTCAGAGCCAACTACTTGGTTTACTTCCCAGTCAGGGAAGAAATTAGGATCAACAGAAGTTGGCACTCAATAAATACTTGTCCAAAATAATTAAGTCTTCCATGGGTTGTGGCAAGTTGGTGTTCATACTGCTTACATAATTCAGGGAGCCCAGAAGATTAAAAAGGGCATCCCAGGAAGGAGACTGTTTTAAATAATGGTCATACATAGCATATAGGCACAAGACCTTTTCCCAAAACTGGGTTGTCAATAGTAGTTTCGTCTTGGTTAAGGGGTAGCTTTCCTGAGTGTGAGATTTTTTTCCTAAGAAAAATTGACCTAGGCTTAGATTAGACATAATAAACATCCTAAATGGGAAGTTGCAGATTGTTTTTGAAGTGAAAAGTATTTTAATGTCTTTAAATGGAATATGCATAAGTAATGGAATTTAAGTGTTTTACATGTTGCTATTAAGTAACCGTGAATATGATTATTGCAGTTTTCTAGAACTTGGGTCAGTGGGACTGCTCTTTTTCCTAAGAGGTTTTAAAAATGCTTTTGAAATTTAAATGCCAATTTTAGAATGTATAATCCTTACGGGATTCTTAAATTCTATCATATCTTTTCTTTGTTCAAGAGAGCCGTGTATCAGTGACTTTTATCAGAAGTTTAGGATTTGTTTTGTTTTTGTTTTCAGGGTAGAAATGGATTTCCCTAGTTATATTCTCCCTGAGTTAACTTGGAGTTACTCAATTAATGAAATTTTTATGGTGAAATCCTAAAATCTATTTGTTTTCTATTCATTTAAGTAGGCAATGCCTGTACACACTAATGACTGGGTAAGACAGAAAACACATTTCAAATGCATGACCTGAAGGCAGTCAGTGACAGCATTTTGATATCTCTGATTTTATAGGATACAAATTCCTAGTGTCAGAATGCCATGATGTGCAACTACACTGTGTCCTAGGCAGTGGTTATTTCACTCACTGACCTCTGAATCAGTGTGGCCAGTCCCACTACCACCATCCCTAGCCCTGTGTTGCTTCACAGGATATTACTTACCTGAATATAAGGAGAAGTCCTTACCCTTTCCCCAACTTACCTCTCAGTCTTGTTACTTCTAACATACACTTCCTTTTTGTAATACAAGTCAACTGAAAAGTGAGATTTGATATATCGAGTTTTGTGACCTTCCTATTATTTGAGGGATTCTGCCAATAATACTGAAAAGCACACCTAAGACATTTTTTTGTTATAGAAATAGAGTATACGTTCATTTGAAAATAAATGGACATGCAAGTTGCATCTCCCTAGGAGAGAGACATTTGATAAACATTTTGGTGTGTTTGTTTTCACTATAGATTTCAATTTGTTTCTCTCTTCCACTTGTTCTTTTACTTTGTCAACTCACATATGTCCCAATAGCTTTCATACATTTTGTGTAGTCTTTTGAAGCAATGCATTCGAGTCCTGGATCTTGGTCCTGAAACCCTTATTCTGTCTCCGGGGCCTCCGAAAATTAAGAAATGGTAGACCTCTTGCTTCCTAGGATTGTCACCTATCCTGCCAGTGTTTTAGGTTGTGCTGTTTCCCTTCAACGGGTGAGTTCCGTCTGTGTTGTTAGGCACAGTCCTGCCATTATTTTCGGTGTACCGCTGGATGCCCCTAAGCTACTTACATATTTTATGATTTTGCATTGAAGCTGTTGAACCTTGTATGAGCAAGTCACTTCTCTGCTCAGAAATACCACAGTGAGTTCTAAGTAAGCCCCTACATCAAATGCATACTTTTTGTCTTCCTGTAGACCTTACTCTCACTTCTTCTTAACAGGGACTTCAGTTTAAGTCTCTTCAATCCTTCAAGGCCTGGCCTTGTTCCTGACTCCTCAAGAAATCTTGACTCTAAGGCCTATTTCACTGTCTGTCTTCTCTAAATCCCTACAAAGCTTCAAGTCTGTATGACATACTCTAACACCAAACTATATATTGTCCTGTACTGTTCCTAGCTGGTACATGTATATTAGTCTTGTCTCCCTCATGAGAATGTAAGCTCCTTAAGGGCAGGGACCATGTCTTAATTTTTGTATCCACCACAGTGCCTAGCACAGTGCTTGGCACATAGGTGCTGAATAAATACTTTGTTTATTGATCAGTAAACTATTATCTGGTATTTTTAATTACAGAGGGATTAATGTGTTTGCATGCAAGCTTGTGCTTAGTGGCTGAGGCTTATAATTTGTCTCTGGAAGTGGGATGGAACAAAACAACGTGACAGGGCAGTGGTTTGCCGATAGACAAGCCAAGGTCTATCAGCATGTATGTGGTCATGGTCAAACCAGATGAGTACACAGACCATCCCACTAGACAAGAATAAAATGTGCTGGACTCTCCACTTTTTGGAAGCACTAGGATACTTGAACAGTTATTAGCTTTTAGAATCTGCATATGAAAACCATTGAACCACAAGAGACTTCTTTTAGAGGGATGGCATATTTCAGATTACTGATAGAGGAAATGTAGGCAACACAGTTAGATGTTTATATGGGATTTAATTGTTCTGACTCTTTGTTCCTCTTAGCTTTGAGGCTTCAGATAGCTGGGTTATTAGGCCAGAGATTATGGATGAGTTATCTATAGATGTGCCTTGTTTTGCCTGTATCATTAAAAAAAAAAGAAAAGAAAGAAAGAAAGAAAGAAAGAAAGAAAGAAAGAAAGAAAGAAAGGCTAGTATTTAGAATGAACAGATTTCACTTGAAAATCTTCACCTTTTTTCTTGAAAATATTGGAAAACCTGACAATCACAGGCCTACATGATAGCCACTGTGAAGGATCCATGAGTGCTTTTAGAGACGGCATTTGCTTTTTTAGATGATTTTGCTCATGATCCACCTGGACTCTCAAAATCATTTGGAACATATGGAACATTAGGTTACTCTGGAAAGCACACTGGGAAAGAAGCCTGGAATCCATCTTTTTTACACGGAAGGCCCGTAATTTGAGAGTTAATAGTTATTTTCCCTTTTAGTTTTGGGTTCCCTTTCTAAATATTTAGGAACCTGAAGTGAAACTTTGTAGAGACATATCTCCTGTGAGTTAAACATACACATTTTCAGTAACCCCTGTCTCTACACTAGAGAAAAATTATCTCATACCTGGAGTAAAGGAGAAGGAGGACTTTTAACAGGTTTATACATAGGGCAACTTTCATGGAGATGAACAAAGTTCAAATCCCTTCGCATGGTTTGAAGCTCAAAGTGTATTTTCCAGAAATTACATTTCCTCTATGCAGAGAAAGCAGCTGCTTGGTAGCTTTTTGTAGTAAGTTAGCAAGTCATTCTTTTCCTTTAGGAACAGAAGGAGAAACTAATTATATCCTATTTCCCCTGTTGGAGTTCTGAATCTCTTCATTGAGTAGGGTTTGTATGATGGGCTGGAGAGCCATACAGAGGACTTACGAATCTGGCAGGAACCACTGGCGAAAGGAAGGACAAAAGACCATTTTAGTCCCATTGGACTAGCCCTTTCTCTGCCTGTAACATTGGGGCAGACCACATTCTTTGTGGTAGTCACTTTTTTTTTTTTTTTTGGAGAGGTTTTCGCTATAGGGGCCGTGTGCTCGCCAGACAGACAGAGAGAGACATAGAGACAGAAAGCGAGAAATCCCCCAGGGGGGATGGCCACACCGCAATCCCTTCTCCTCCATTCTCCTCTCGGGATCTTGGGCACGCATGCACACGCGCCCGGCGTGAGTTTTAAGCCACCGGGTCTGGGACGTGAACCGCGGTCGACTACATGGGAGTCCAGCGACATAGCCATTAAGCTAACTGCTGGTTCCCTGTTTTTTTAATTGCTTAAGGATATGTGCCCTCACCAGAGAGAGAGAAAGCATCCCCAATTGGGTGTGGTCACACCACAATCCTTCCTCGATTTCTCTGTCCTGTCAGAAATTGGGGTACGTTTGCACAGGTGCCTGGCATGGTTTTCGAGCCAGCCGGCCTGGAGTCCAACCACAATCTGGGATCTAGCTCCCTTAAAGGTTAGGCTACGGGCCAGCACTGGGATAGTCACTTTCCAAGGAAAATAAATGATTGTCAAGAATCAGAGCTCACTTTCTTGTCTGCAATGGGATAGCAGCATCCTTTTCCAAATTAAGATTGTGTGACATCTGAATGACTAATCTCTGAAGGCTCAGTTTATCTTTGGAGCTGGAGTCAGTATCTACCATATAATTTATAAGTGGGTTAGAGGATTACATATTGCAAATGTTTGTGTTCCTCAGAGATTTCACAGAATTAAGTACTTTCCGTGGAGAGCCATTATATTTGTGGATGGAGACGGGCTGTCCTGGGAAGAAATGTTTCTAGAACAAAACAGTCAAGGAGAAGTACGGCGTTCTACCGAACCGAAGTCCCGCGGAACCTCCATCCTGTCCCGCGGTTGTCGCTCGGACCTTTTACTAAGTGCATCTCAGCCCCTGCTCCGCGCTTCCCGGAAGTGAAAGCCGGTCCCAAACTCCGATGCATGCTGGGAGTTGCAGTCTCGTTCTTAAAGGCTGGGAGCGGCCGGGGGGGCTTCCCC